CTGCTCCAGGCTTCGGTTCCGGTCAGATACGCAAACGGCATTGAAACCCTAGAGCCCTAAAGCCGAAACCTCAAACCCTAAACCCTTAGCCAAATTCAACACGTCGGAGAGCCTGCGGCGCCGCAACTACAAGTGCAAGCAAAACGACGGCCTTCACAGGGTTATGTGTTCCCTTTTGGGGTTACCCAAATGAGCCGGGCCCTATTATTTTGGGGTCCCCCGACAGGGACCATAATTTAGAGAACTCACCATATGGCAAGTCCCAAAGAAGCCGACTATAGGGTTCCCGTGCCGCGTTTTTGCTTGCTGGCGCGTCCCGGGCGTGTAGGCCGGTGCTTCACCGGCCGCCATTGTGTTTGGATCCGTTTTCCCTTGTTGCGACGAAATCCTGTGGCAGTTTTTGTTTCGGGTTTTGGTGTGCGTTTCTTCAGGTTGTGTTCTGGGCTTTCCCTAAAGCCTACACCCCCAAGTTATGAGCCTCAGTCTACCAGTGGGCTGCAGGGCCACCAAGATGCACCCAGCAATCCCAGGAACCTTGCGGGGATTTGGCATTGCTTGCAGTTTAGGGTTATATATGATAATGTTCTGTTACATGTTGGCGAGTCCTGAGTGTGTATATACGTATAAGAGAGGGTGTCCTGGGTACTCTGGAAATAAAAACCTATTCCGTTTGGGGCAAATCTGTGGGGGGTCGAAATCTGAGGCTACTATTCTTGGTGACATCGGCGACGATTGAACCCTAAACGGTTTATGAATCTTGCAGGTATGGGCGTGCGGGCGCGGTGCTCATGTTGTGGAGATTCCGAAGCGATATGCTTCTGTCTGCACTGAAACCCTAAACCCTAAACCCTAAACCCCTTTTTTCCTCACCCAACGGTCCCCCGGACCTCGTTTCCTTCTTGGAACCAACTGCCCACACGACTCGAGTCCCAGTCCACATTCCCTGTATCTCCAGAATATGAAAGCCTAAACCCTAAAACCTAAACCCCAAACCCTAAACCCTAAACCCTAAACCCCAAACCCTAAACCCTAAACCCCAAACCCCAAACCCTAAACCCTAAACCCCACCAGGTGAATGAGCAACGACCGGCTCCGAGACCACGTGCTAGAAGCGAGCCGTTGCCTTCCGCCCCACGAGGCGAAGGCGGGTTTAGTGTTTGGGGTTTGGGGTTTGGGGTTTAGGGTTTAGGGTTTAGGGTTTAGGGTTTAGGAGCATTTCGGGTTCAGGGTGCCATTTAGAGTTTGCAGTGTTCGGGTTTGCAGGGTTTTGGGGCTTAATTATAGGGTTCGTAGTGTTCACAGCGTTCAAAGGGCTTATAGGGTCCTGACGTTTTTTTGCTCGAGTTTAGGTTTCAGTGTTTAGAGGGTTTGAGGCTTAGGGTCTTGGATTTTTCGCGGTTACGTCGGGCTAGAACGAAGAGCACCTTAGCTTCAGCCTGGCTTCAGGATTCGAACTCTAGTGGCAAAACCCTAAACCCTAAACCCTAGACCCTAAACCCTAAATAGGGTTCAGCAAGGAGGTCGCACCGCTCTTCCACCAATCCTGCCCGTCCTCCCCTCCTCGGTGGCAAGGTAGAGATCTAAGAATCACTCAACATACCCCAAACCCACCCCTGAACCTACAAAAGGGAGAATTTAAGGTCTTTGCCATATGTTCCCTCAATTTCGTTAAAGGGGTCTGCCCTGGGACATTTTCCATTTCCCTTTTTGGGTTTAAGAGGATCATATTCACATTTTTCGGAGGGCTTTAAGGGCCATCCACGAGGGGTATGCCCAAGGGGTATGTTGAGTATTTCTTAGGGTTTAGGGTTTAGGGTTTAGGGTTTAGGGTTTAAGGCTTTGCATGCATCATCCTGAGTCATCATGGCCAGGGGCTCTCAAGGCGTAAACCCTAAATCCTAAACCCCAAACCCTAATCCCTAAACCCCAAACCCCAAACCCTAAACCCTAAACCCTAAACCTTGTCGGACATCTTCTGGAGCCTCTGGGTGGCTCCTCCCAATATGTGAGACTCAAGGAGCCTTCAAGGGAGCTTAGGGTTGAGGGTTTAGGGTTTAGGGTCTATTCCATACGCCCGAATCGGGGGGGGGGGGGGGGATCCAAGCTTTCCGTGTCACCAGTCCCCTAGATACATTGATTGGGTGCACTCGGAAAGCTGATCCTATCTATTCAGTTAAATGAACCTAACCTGCCATGAAATGCCCTAAACCCCAAACCCTAAACCCCAAACCCTATACCCCAAACCCTATACCCAAAACCTTGAACCCTAACATGTAAACCCTAAACCCAAAACCCTAATCCAACCTGCCATGGCAACACCCTAAACTCCCAAACCCTAAACCCCAAACCCTAAACCCCAAACCCCAAACCCCATAAAGCCTTAATCTCGAACTTTGGGCGTCGGCTCAGGGCATGGGCCACCGGACATCGAGCTGAGGCGAGCTGAGACCGTACAGAGGCTGGCACTTCTGCAGCTTGGATATCGGGTTTACGGCTTAGGGCTTAGGGCTTAGGGTTTAGGGTTTAGGGTTTAGGGTTTAGGGCTTCTGCAGCTTGGAGTCCGCCGGTTTGCGGTTTAGGGATTCGGGGTCTGGGGTTTAGGGTTTAGGTTTTGTGGGGTTTGGGGTTTGGGGTTTAGGGTTTAGGGTTTGGGGTTTAGGGTTTAGGGTTTGGGGTTTAGGGTTTGGGGCTGGTTTGGGCCTACTTGGGGTTGGGATTCAGGGTACGTACCGTTGGCTTCAGAGTATTCCGATGGGGAGACGACTTGGGCTCCCTGTGGGTTGTCAACAAGCCGAGCAGGCTCAAGATCTGGGGTTCGGGTTTAGCTGTCTGGGGAGTGAGGGGTCTAGGATTTAAGGTTTAGGGTGGTAGCCCCTACACCCTAAACCCCAAACCCCAAACCCTACTCCCAAAGCCCTAAACCCTAAGCTTAAGCTCCAGGCAAGAAACCTCCAAGAAACCTCCAGTCGCCCAAAACTTAATGCTTGAAAGACCAAAACGTGAACCCTCAATCCCAAACCCTGGTAAACCCTAAACCCTAAACCCTAAACCCTAAACCCTAAGCCCTAAGCCCTAAACCCTAAACCCTAAACCTCCAACGTGTACCTTAAGGCCCTAAGACTTCGCTCCTGCGTAAATGGGGTTTACGACAATGGGGGACGCGAAAATAGACACCCAAATCGTAGGATCCCCTGATAAGAAGTACCCCCAATAAGGCACCCCCAATTTCGGAGACCCTCAACCCTAAACCCTAAGCCCTCAACCCTAAACCCTGAACCCTAACCCTGAACCCTGAACCCTAAACCCTAAACCCTAAACCGAGGATGCGCAACGCGTGGGACAACGGCCTTTTTGCCAAACAGGACGCCACGGCATCTCGGCTTTTGGCATCTGAGGTCGATTTGGGGGGCGGGGGGGGGGGTTCCGAAATTTGGGGCTTAGGGTTAGGGTTTAGGGGTTAGGGTTTAGGGTTCAGGGTTTAGGGTTCAGGGTTCAGGGTTTAGGGTTTAGGGTTTAGGGGTTAGGGTTTAGGGTTTAGGGCTTGAAATTAGGGTACCTTATTGGGGACATTTTATAAGGGAATCCTACTATGTGGGATCTATTGTACCGGTCCCTTAATTATTTTCGTCAACTCCCATTTGTAATGAATTATCAAAGTTCTTTAGGCCCTGATCCCTAGACAACCCTATACGGTTACTTCTCCAAAATATGGTCCCTTTTTGGGGGGTCCTTGTTATAAAGGCGGCCACTACTATTTAGGGTACCCAAAAGTGGACCATATTTTCAAAAAATGACCAGATAACCCATGGAAATTCAGTTTCGTGTAGTCACGCGCTTTCTGTTTGGGGTCGGGACGGGCTTGTGCTTGAAGCCCTTAAGGCCTGTCATGCACTATTCCCCTGCACAAAGATCATGAGACACGCTTCAGCTCAAAGTATGGAGAGGTTGGGATGTAGGGTAAAATGAACGTTGAGGTGGCTCTCCCGTCACGTCAACCAAATTTTACCGGGTTATCCCGATTGCTTTGCATCAAGGTGTCCCTCCCAACGAGAAGGTCTTTAGGGTTGCATCCATGCTTGCAAGTAGAGAACCGTGAGCCGTAAATCCGAAACCTCAAGTTCCCAGAAGATGCCCTAAACCCTAAAACCTGGAACCGAAACGCCCCGCAAACCTAGCCCTGCCTGAGGAGGTTCAGATGAAGTTCCAGCATCAAAACGCCCTCAACTAAGGAGGTTTTCGATAGTCCCAGGATATTTGGAGGGCAAAGTGTAGGGGGTTGCCCAAAAAAGGCGTAACCTTGCTGGAGGGCTTTCACCCCTAAAAGCTCCAATCAAAACCCCAAAGCTTTCACCTTAGACTTAGACCCTAAACCCTAAACTCTAAACCCTAAACCCAAAAGGATGCTCCGGCAGCAAGCAGCAGCTTCCCAGCTGGAATTGGGGTCTGACGGGGCGGGGGTTTATGGGGTTTCGGGTTTAGGTGCTCCCCCCCCCCCCCCCCCTCCCTGAAGCTCGTTGTCAGGGCTGTTGGGGGACCCTAAACCCCAAGCCCTAACCCTAAACTCTATTTTGTTCGGCGGCGCTGGGTGTTTGGGCAATGCTTCGCCGAGAGGCCACTGGGAGTTTAGGAGGTTCCTTTCCCGAAAATCTTAAGCCGGGGTCTCCCCCTGGGCGATCCTGCGCACGGTTTTAGGGTTTAGGGTTTAGAGTTTAGGGTTTAGGGTTTAGGGTTTAGGGTTTAGGACATCTACCTATGGAAACCCAACAATGGACCAGAATTTTCCCTAAACCCTACGGGAATGTAATATGTACTCATATAGGCAACTAAATGCATAAATATGAATACATGATTAGAATGTATATAAATATAAATATAAATATACATATAAATATAAATATAAATATAATATATATATATGTATTATACAATAATCTATTGTAAAAAACATCCTACTAAGATATATAATTTTATGCGATTAAGGCTTGTAAGAGACAGCCAAGGCAAGAGATCTGGACGGGCGCAGCCAGCGATGGCAGCGTCCAGTGCCCGAGCCTCCCAGGCTTCTTCAGCTTCGGGCCATATGTCGGAGGGAGAAGCGGCGGATCCTCCACCCCTCAGCCGGGGAAGCGTTGGGCACCCAGAGTTTTGCACGCGCCCTTGCGTTTACCTCTCCGGGCATGGCTCATGCCCCCGCAAGGAGGAGTGCAACTTTTGCCACGCCCCGCACGCAGTGCAAAACCGGCGGGGCCGCAGGCGTTTTGAACAGCAAGGACGTCAGAACCTCGACGCCATGTCGGACATCCAGCTCCTGATAGCCTTGCACGTTGCCTTGTGCAGACTGCTGTCCAACCCAAGAACGAACAACGCACCGATGCGGGCGATCATCCGGTGCTGCGAGCAAGAGATCGCAAAACTGAACGTTTCCGGAGCTCCAGCGTCAATGACGCCAGAAATGCTGAATGCTTTCGCACGTCTGCAACCTGGACCCATGCTAAGCATGGTGACCGCGCGATTGAGCGCTGGCCCGAAGCAGAAACTCTCCGGTGCAGTAGCGCACCTTTACGAGCACCTGGAGAGTGCCGTGTCAGTTGCACAGAATCCCTGACAGGGCAGAACTTCTTTATCAATTCGGGGGTATAGTTAAGGGAAAGCAAGAATCACAATGACGCCACTGTGGTGCTTCTAGAAGGAGAACCACATAAGCTTAGGGCTTTATAGCGCGGACATACGTCAGAACCTAGACGTACATGCAAGCCAAGAGCGAATTAGGGATGTGGGCCCGGCAACACTGAACGTTTCCGGAGCTCCAGCGTCAATGATGCCGGACATGCTTAGTGTTTAAGTCTCGGTCTTGCTTTCAGATTTCAGGACGCAGCAGATAGGTTGGAGGCCTTTTCATGGCTTGTGCTCAGGTGAGGGACCAACCTACCTGAGGGATTTTTACAAACTTTAGTAGCTTCTTGGCATGTGGCCCATAGGCGTCAATCGGATATATGGAAGTGTATGACTTATATGAACCCAGAAGAAACCCTAAACCCTAAACCTCATGTCAGGGTCCGTTACGTGGTCGCCAAAGTACAGCCCCCTAAAGACGTTTCAATTTCGGCCCCGAGCCCTCTCTAAACCCTAAGCCCTATACCCTAAACCCTAAACCTTCACCCCGTTTCTCTGAACTACTGGAATCACGACCTAGACTCGACATGCAACCTTTTGGTTCAGGGTAGGGTTTAGCGAACTTTTGATCCCGATGCCAAGAGGCTGGGGGCTTCTACTTAGTTCCCAGAAGATCATGTGAAGCAGGGTTTATATTTCTGCTATTGGTGGGTGTATATAAGGTTCCTCTTTTCAGAATAGTGAGTGTTTCAAGAAATATGAACCCTTCTTCATGTGTTTCCTTGCACGATGACTGCCAGGTTCTGCATGTTTGGCAAAACCAGGCTGTTTCTACAGCGGCGCCCAAGAAACACCTTTCCTTGCCACCGAGGCCACGAAGGGTGTATATAACATGGGCCATGCTTTCAAAAGTAGCGTTGCCATTCCTAGGGTTCAGGTTTAGGGCTTAGGGTATAAGGGTACTATTTGGGCGTTCTACTGTTGGGATCCTTTCAGGGGTCTGGGAATGCAAGTATATCGACAACACTTTAAGCTTCGACGTGCAAGAGGCTGTCATATGTTTCTTTTATGTGTGTGTGGTTATTGTTGTACCGGCACTTCGTTATTTCTTTTTTCGTCCTATACTACTATGTTATTGTAGTACTATCTTTATTTTGTATTCCCTAATCACTTTCGATATTATATTATCAGGACCGGGAGTAGGCCCCTTTTTTCAGTTTTTTAGGTTTGGGGTTCCCTGCTAAAACCCCTTAAAACCGAAACGGGCACCCTTTTTATTCCTAGGCTACTCCCGGGTATAGTTTTTGCATCATGAACTTACTCTATTTCTATTAGTCTATTCGTCTATTAGTATACTGGTATGCCCTTGTGTTACTTTTCTTCTAGGATTACATTTTGGGATGTTCCCCCTTACACTAACCAGTCCTGCTTAGGTTATACGAACAGTCCTTAATAGGGATTATCATGGGGGGGTACTACAATCCCTCTGAAGGAATCTGTTAGTAAATGGGGGAACATCCCAACCCCTAAGCCCTCAACCCTAAACCCTTAACCCTTAACCCTCAAAACAGGTTTGGAAGGCCCGGGCATGGGATCCTTCTTTGGGCCGTAGGGCCTAGGGTTTAGGGTTTAGGGTTTAGAGTTTAGGGTTTAGGGTTTGGGGGGGGGGTTGGGGGGCGGGAGGGGAGATTGGACACGAACACGCCTGCGCTGCGACCCGAGCGCCGCTTGCAAACAATCAATTCATCCCACCTTTTGTTTAGGGTTGAGGCTTTAGGGTTTCAGGGTTTAAACGCCTTCAAGCCTTTAAGTCTCAAAGCGCACTTAGCCTTCAGGCCCCTAAGCCTCCTCAGGCGCTACGGCGCTTAGGAAGGAGAAAGGGGCGGCGGGCCCGTCGGAGGGTTGCCACGTCAACGCGCAGGAGAGAGGGTCTATTTGTTTAAGAGATGCATATTCGTAGGTTCTAATATTTTCACATCTTATTAAATTCTTATGGTTGTATTTCACGAAAGTACAATATGTCTAGATCGCCATATTTGTATATTGCAAAATTACACTATATTATCATACTTCTATATTGCTATATTACAAAATTGCCAGATTGTCGTATTGCTGTGTTTTGTTCTTGCTGTATTGCTTTGCTGCTGTATTTTGCTAAATGCTGTTATTGCTATATTTCTTTCTTGCTGCATTGCTATAAAATGTTCTTGCTAAGTTGCTATATTGCTATATTGCCATATTGCTATATTGCTATATTGTTATATTGCTGTATTGTTTTTTGTTGTTTTTGTTGTAATAATTTCTTGTTTTTGGTGTATCTCTATTTCTAGACTGCTCGATTGCTAGCTGACTAGATTACACTACTACATTGCTTCTTTTACTATGTTACTCTGTCATTGTAATTAGATGTTATGATCTTGTTTTGTTCTATTTTGGTCCTGTTGCAAGTTTTATGCTTACATGTCTATTTTTCACATTCATATACTGTTTCAGTACCGCATTTACGTACTGTTATAATTGCCAATTCCTATGCTATTGGGACCCAGAGTAGACAATTATTCCCTTTTTGTAGGGTCCAGGTTCCCCTTATCAGCCCCTTTAAAATTCCTAGGTTACTCTTGGGTCTAGACTATTCATTATCATTATCGTATTGCAGAATCTCTTGGGAGGAGATGGTGGCCCTGCCAGACTCGAAAAGGGGCACTCTTGGGCACGTGCATGACGTGTGAGCTGATCCGCAGACCATCAAGATCACAAAAGGCAGGTGTCAAGCCAGGCTAAACCCTAAACCCTAAACCCTAAACCCTAAACCCGGACCTTTCCTGTATGGGATCAGGGCACTTGGATGACGCGGTATCTGATGGCCGGGACTTGCAAGAAACGGCCGCACCCTGCCTACGCGTAAAGCCTTATCTCTCAGAGGGTTGCATACATTCCTAAGACGTAGGCCCTGGGCAGATGCTATGTTCTGTTTCAAATGGAATGGGTTTAGGGCTTAGGGTTTTGTTTAGGAATCCTGGTTCCCAGTGCCTTTTCTGTCTGACTTACCTTGAGAGGTCTGGGATAGCGACCCAGCCTCAGGACACATCGTCCCTAAACCCTAAAACCTGAACCCTAAAGGCAGTCCTCACTTAGTTGGGTTTAGGGTTTAGGGCCGTTTAGGGCTCAGGATTCAGGGTTTTAGGGTTCTGAGTTCAGGTAGAACGTCCAAGAATGTAGGGTTCAGGGTGTTTAGGGTTTAGGGTTTAGGGTTTAGGGTTGAGGCTTAGGGCTTGTGTTTGCCGGGCAGCAGAATCGTCTCGGACAGCTCACTAGTTTCCATTTGCAGGCCAGTAGAGTGTTTCAAGCAGCCTGAACCCGAAACCTTAAGCACTGCAAGGGTTTAGGGTTTAGGGTTTAGGGTTTAGGGTTTAGGGTTTAGGGTTTAGGTTTTAGGGTTTAGGGTTTAGGGTTTAGCCCTGAGCCTGCCCCAAACCCCAAACCTTAAGTCCTAACCGTATCCAAACTGCGCGTGCTCATCGCACACATCTTGACATGCCATGCACTTTCAAGCTCTAAATCTTCCAGTCCATGGCTAAAGATCACGAACCCAGCACCCCCCCCCCACTTCCCGCCTGTCAAGTTAAGTGTACCTATACTTTGATTCGATTCCAGCAAAAATGCACTTTTCCCCCTTGATAACCCAACCCCTGAAATGGTAATCTACCCCTTGAACTCAAAAACCTAAACCCTAAACTCCTTTCCAGAGCGTGCGAGGTTGAGGGGTCTCAAGGCTGCTGCTCGGGAACTGTGCCTTTATCAGGCAAAATCCATCCAAATTTTTGAAAATCAAGGGGCAAGGATCCAGAGCGGTCATAAGAATTTAGGCTTCAGCATGTTGCCCACAAGCATCGGCGGTGTAAGGGGCTTATGTTCTTGCATTTCAGTGTCAACACAAGGGGGTTCTAACGTTCACGGTAAGCGGGGCCAGGCGGATGTGGCCACGCTGCGCACTCGGCGCGCACTGCCAGGACACGCCTAAACCCTAAATCCGAAACCCTAAACCCTAAGCCCTAAACCCTAAACGAAGCCTGCCTGGCTTTTCGGACGAACATCGTGCTCTCGTCTAGGCGTGGGCGTGGCCTGTGCTCGCCATTCCTCGAAACGGTCGTCGCATGTTGAAGCCCTTGCTTTGGGATGTTCCCCCCTTTCCTAACAGTCCTCCATGGGGATCATCATAGGGTTTAGGGTTTAGGGTGTAGGGTTTAGGATTATCCTGTTAAGTTAAGGACTGTCAGTATAACGGGGAACGTCCCAATCCTTGCTTGCCAAATGTGAAACTTTCTGGCTCACATGGTCTCTCACTGTGTGGGGTCTGTGCTGGTAGAGTTCGGCTGATGCAGGGGTTTAGGGTTTAGGGTTTAGGGTTTAGAGGTGGCGAAATTCCACCCACGCCAGCCCGTGCCTGGCCAGTTGCTGTCCGCCATGGTGCATCCTCTGTGCATAGCCCGGGGGGGGTCCAACCTACCCTAAACCCCGAGCTCAAGGGTTTAGTAGGGTTTAGGGTTTAGGGTTTAGGGCAGCCCCAATCCCTAAAACTTCAAAACCCAATATTCGGCAGAACGCAAGGGAGGGGCCGCCATAAGGGACAAGCTGGGCCTCTCTTGAGCCCCTCTCATCATGGTGATCCACTCCTGTGAATGAACGCAGTCCATCCTTTAGGGCGTGTTAAGCCGGTCGTTAAGCTCCTTCCCTGGAGCCTTCACGTCAGCACCTTTGTACTATTTGCACCCCCCCTCCCCCACACACACAACAAAAAACAATAGTCCCTATATTACCCCTAAAAGGAAGAATATTCTTAATCTTGTTTGGGGTTCTTAAGCAATTGGTAGCTTTGATCCCAGAATCCTCCCTGCACTCACCAAAGCAAGGAATCCCACCAAAGCTGAAGGATAAGCCAATACATGTAAGCTTGAGCGCAAGACGAGGGTACTCAGGCAGGCTTTTATACAT